ACCCACCCCAACCGGCCGCGCGCCGCCCCGCCCCCGGGGCCCGCGCCCGCGCCGCCGCCGCCGCCGCCGAGGGAAGCGGAGCCCGGCGCGGAGCCCTGCGCGCGCGCCTGCAGGGCGGACCTGGACGAGCGCGAGTCGTACTGCGAGAGCGAATTCGGTGAGCGGGTCCCAGGCCGAGGCGAGCCTTTCCGAGCCCAGAGACACCCACCCGCACGTTCTAGAGGCCCTTTGGGCTATTTCGTGATTTGTTAAAGTCGCGCGGGGCAATGAGAGAGGAAGTCGCTGTAATGCTTTTCTCCAAACTCTGTTTTGAAAGCAGCCGTGAATGGAATCGTGCATGATGTGGACGTGCTCGGCACGGGGATCCGGCTGGTGACTCTGCTGGTGGACCAGGACGGGCTGTACAAGATGAACCGCCTGTACATCACTCCGGACGGGTTTTTCTTCAGGGTCCACGTATTAGCCCTAGATTCCTCCAGATGCAATAAGCCATGTCCAGAATTTAAACCTGGTATTGAAACTGACCTAAATGACCGCTTCATAGACGTACTCTATTCTGCCATTTGTACCTTCTTTTGGGGATACTGTAACTAATAGAATTTGGATGACAGGTTATAATTTCGACCCCTTGTGATTTAAGACCCCCATGCCCCGCAAAGGGATTAAATTCAAGTAGGGATTGGCACGAAGCAAGCCCTTAAATACATCAACAGGTGGAGTGAATAACACTGTTCCCAGAAGGGATAAGCAGTTCTGTACAGAACTGCTTCTTTTGGCCCATGCATTTGGATTAGGACCTCTGTTCTGAAATGTCCGCTGTTTACAGGTTACCTGGCTATTTCCTAAAGGTCACTAGACTGTCCCCACGTGTGGCCGGTAGGTTACATGAGTTCAACATGTGCAGCAAGATAATAAAATTCAAACTCAGGCATTTCTTGTCTTTCTATGGCACTTAAAGCCACCATTAACTGATGTTCTGATTGTTTTGTTCAGGCAGCAGGTATATTGTGATGGGCCACATCTACCACAAGAGACGGCAGCTCCCTACAGCTCTGCTCCAGGTTCTCAGAGGGCGGCTGCGGCCAGGAGATGGACTGCTCAGGAGCAGCAGCAGCTATGTGAAAAGGTTTAACCGGAAAAGGGATCGGCAAGTTCAAAGTGCAGTTCACACCCAGTGCATTTGAAACCACCCATCCCGGCATTGATGGAGGGCAACGGAGACTTGAAAAAGACATCAAAGGTCTATCTTTATGAAATGGGGCCTTCCTTTACAATTTGGGCCTACAGCTACTTTATGAACTATTTGTACAGTTCCAGCTCTAATCTTCACATTGTCACTTTGTTATTTACAAAATGCCTCTTATGGTATACTCAAGGGCAGTTATTCAAATGTAGTCCCTGACAGTGATTCACCTAGCTCAGATACCTGACCTGTCCAGTTAACAGATGACTGCTTCATGTTAGGTTTTTAAATTATTTTAATTTAATACATTCTTCAGTAGAAATAGTTCACAAAAAAACATTTCTTAAATTTAAATATACACTTTCAATAGTTTATATCATGTATCAAACCAAATTTTATACTCAAATCATCACATTTATAACTGTACATAACAGTAATCACACGAGTCAAAAGACATTTATGTATGAAATGTCATTTAGATCAAACACTAGGTCAGCGCTCAGGACAAGTTTAAAATTTTACATATGCAGAGTACTAAAGGGCTTAATTCAAGCAAAATAGTATTCAAAGCAAGTGTTCCTGATGTACCAAAATGTAAGATATAGTATATTTTCATGCCTCCCTGTTCCCAATAATTTATGTTGTGTGCCAAACTGGCAGCTATTCCACTGCTAAATGTATTCTGGATGTATCTGATGTCATTTTTCTATTAAGACCAAGTATCATGTTTGTGTTTGTAAAGCAGTAAATCTTGCCTTGAAATCAGATCTTGGATGCACCTGGGTTTTTTAGCCTGCATAAGCCAAAAGGTTTGAGAAAAAGATTTGTTTCAAACTTGGTCCCCAAACCCTGAAACCAGTTTTTATCAATGACAGCTCACAAGCAAGTGAATAACATTTTCTGGATGGTTTGAAAAAGGCTAAGTTTAATAATGATATTTATATTTGAGTCCAATAGCAATTTCTTTCAGAAGATTGAGCTGTCCTTCAGTTAACTCAAAGCATTGTGAACACAGACAACAATATGCATGAAGTTTCCTGCCAAAAGAGAGAACTGCACTGCAGAGAAAGGCAGACTGTTTGGTCTCAAGGTGACTTGCTCAGGGAGCTCACAATGTTAATGGCCCGAGAAGCACTATATATCTAAAGGATTTCCAAGATGGGGCACTAGAGAATCGACAAGGAAGCAAGTAGCAATCGCATAAAACAAAATATCTCATACTTCTGCCTCAAACATGGCCTTAGAGGTGAAAACAGAGGTTCTGATATCACTGAGGGACTTTTAGATAATTTCTCCAAAATGAGTCTTGCCCAAATGTATTAAAAAAATTTACTAGAATTTCTTGGGAACAGCTTCCTTATTACATAACTATTGGCATTAGAGTAAACAGCTAACAAATTAAGTTTTAAGATAAAATTAACTCAGTCATAAAATACTGTCAGTCAAGTCAAATTTTTAATTGTCAGAGACTAAGCGGTGATTCAAGGAACATGATAGGAAGATTCCAATATAGCCAGATAGATAAACTATTAGTTATCTAATAGTGAGGCACTTCTAAATACTTAGAATAATATACCGAATGGTCAGACTTAAGACAAAACTTATAAGTGGTCCTAGTTTAAGAGAAAAAAAGCCTAGTATGGCGGCTCACCCTGTAATCCCAGCTGCTCATGTGGCTGAGGTGGAAGGATCACAAATTGGAGGCCTGTCTAAGCAACTTAGACCCTGTCTCAAAACCAAACCAAACACAATAGTAAATAAAAGAGATAAAAATCACTCTTACATAAACCTTAGTTAGGTTTTGACTTAGTTTGATTTGATAACACTATTTATGAAATATTTTGGAAATACAAAAAAAAAAATGCAAGAGCCCTGATATTTGTGACATTTGGAGGTCACACAGCTAATAATGTACATCCCAGAAAAACATGCAGGCCAGATTTTAAGACTGCCTGGATAAAAACTAAGGCCATCATTCATGGAGTAGTGAGGCACAGCTGAGGTAGAATGGCAGTGGGCTGGGGACATGAACAGGAGACAGTGGAGAACAGACTGGGAATTCCAGGTTGGGCAAAATACAAAGTAGAATCTCTTTTTCAATATTCAGTCAGGACCTTGAATACAATCTTTTAATTTGATGGAAAATTTTAATGAATTCATTGTAGTTTCTAATCCTCTTATCCCATTGATAGATTTTTCTTAGAACATGGCTTTGTGCTCCAAAGACTGAAGAGCCCTTTGTGCCTATGTGCACACATAATAGTCCCTCATCAATAAAATACTCAGTTGCCTTCAAGAGTAATTCAATGGTGACCCTCCTCCAAATTAAACTGTTACTTTAGAATTCAAGGGGGAAAAAGTACTTGTTTTTTCTTTTAGTAGGGAAAGGTCTACAAGACATGAATTTTTTTCTTTTTTGGGTACTAATTTTTAAAAACTGTCCTTTGAAGGTATTATTTGGCACTGTTCATCTTAAACTTTTTTTTAAATATTGACTTTTTAGTTGTGGTTGGACACAATATTTAAAAAAAATTTTTTTTAGTTGTTGATGAACGTTTATTTTATTTATTTTGTATGTGGTGCTGAGAATCGAACCCAGTGCCTCATGCATGCTAGGCAAGCGCTCTACTACTGAGCCACAACCCCAGCCCCACAATATTTTATTTTTATGTGGTGCTAAGGATAGAACCCAGGGCCTCACACGTGCTAGGCAAGTGCTCTACTGCTGAGTCACAATCCCTGTCCCTCATCTTAAACTTTTTTTTTTTTCCAGGGCAAAACCTCGATTTCAGAACATATTTGAGCATACAAGAAGTATGTTAGATAAAGCAGGCCTTTATCATTTGAAAAATATGGCATATTTCTTTAGTAGAATTTGGTCCAAACTGGATCAAGTGGTGTGATCTTCTGAGAAATGTCTTTTTCGGTATATTTTTCTAAGTATTTAGAAGTGCCTCACTCTATTTCAAATTATTAAAAATACTTCAGCTGGCCCTTTCCCCCTAAATACTTAGAAGTCATTACTTTGCCCATGATGTATTACCATTCACAATTTAAGGACTAGAGATCTGAGAATTCTGGGGAACAGCTTTGATCAGAGAAGAGTGACTTGTAACAACAGGTAGCTCTGTCAAACTCCATCGCGTGTAGACATTTTAAAAGGTCACAGAGTTGGCTTCAATTTTTTTTTTCTTGCGGGGGGCAGTATGGGGAATTAAACCCAGGGGTGCTCTACTACTGAACTATACCCACAGCCCTTTTTATTTTGAGATAGGGTCTTGCTGAGTTGCTGAGGCTGCCCTTGATCTTGTGATCTTCCTGCCTTGGTCTCCCAAGTCTCTGGGATCACAGGGGTGTGCCAATGCACCTGGCATCAATGCACTTGGCTCTTTAATATGGGAAACACAACAAAGAAGCCAGGATTTGGCCTGCCAGGAATGAACAGGAATTGGGGAAAGAACTTTTATTTGCAGATTCTAGGAAGGTAGGTTACAAATAATGGCATGTCTCAGGGTCTCTACATAACACTCCAGGCCACTTGAAATACAAAAAAACTGTTCTACTTTAGAAAGTAGCTCCAAAAGTTCACAGTTTTTTTAAACCTACTGTAGGACATTATATACAAATCCCACATAATTTGGATAGGAAAAAAAAGCATTACCAATATTATGAAAATACATTTTGTGAAATGGTTTCCAGGATTGTAAACTTGGCAGATAGAGCATAACATTGAAAATACTTTTAGCCAAAGAAATCTGTTGATGCAAATTAAGTATATTTACAGGCCTAAAGACTGGGATAGAAACATCCTAACAGTATCACAAATATGCATTATACTACTTTGATTACTGAAAGCAAAATAGTTTAATATCTTATTGAGTAGTAGAAGCTTGTCAAAGAATACTCATAGAAAAGCAGCTTTTGAAATAAGAATGTATGTTTTTCAAAAATTACTTTGGAAAGACTAAAGCTCTATAGTTGGTAAAACTATAAAATGTCTTCATGTATTTATATGGTGATAGAAATTGCAAAAGGCTTTATATCATTATACACATATGAAATTAACATCTTCCTGGTCTCAGGATTTTCATAAAATTTACCCTTTTTTGTACAATATGGCAATGCCAACAGCTTTAGAAAATATCTCAACCAACCAATCAACCAACCAACCATTGTTTCATTAGAAACTGCACCAAATCCAATGTCAAAAACATTACTTTATTTTTCTAGGATGAAATGTCCTATTACGTACAAAAAGAATTGCTGTTTAGAATTTGCCACAATTTGTTAAAAACATAGCAATCTATTGCCTACAGGTAGGAAAGTTCTTGCCGTAACAAGTTTTAAATGATTAAGCTCATATATATTTATATATATATATATATATATATGTATATGAATAAATATTACAGAAATACTGTGACATGATGAGATGCAGAATAACTTTATAGTTCATTAAAATGTAGAATTCTTGCATCAGCACAGTACATACATATGTAACATTTTTTAAAAACTAAAAGGACAAAGTAACTTGTATTTAATTACTTCCATCTTAATATTTTAAGCAAAAAACTTTTGTTTTCATGTTTCCATATTGAGCAGTTAGTCTCTTTAGTTTGTAAGGATAGGTTTAAGTGATGTCTTTATGCACAAAAAGGAATGGGCTTCATCAGACAAAATTAACCCAGAACAGCCTGTCCACCTGAGCATGTAATAAGAAAGAACTGGGAACTCTATAGCAATGTCTTTCTTTTAAGAAATTGGTCTGGGAAAGATTTTGCATAGCAGGGCAACATTAAACAGAAGGAAACTTTTAACTAACAATAACTAGGTAAGTTCCAGAACTCGGTAGGACAAAGCTAATATGAATTAGTGCAAAATTAGAAAAATTTTGCAAAGCTGCATAACCCAACTCTGGCAGACATTAGAGAAGCCACTGTTACAATGCAGTAATATCATGTGTAAGGTTAGAACACTGAAAGGAACAACATGCAAAATACACCTAAATTCCAGGGTTCCATTTTCTCCCTACTCCTCACGCTTCTTTTCCTTACAAGGAACAAACAAACTCAACCAACAAACAAAAAATACAGAGGATGGGGTCATCTAAAAATGTCCTTCATATAATATAAGTAGCTATGTGTAAAGGGTCATTTGCCTGGAATCATACCAAGTACAGAGGAAAGGCAACGTGTACTGTCATATCACTCTTATCATTGGTGCAATACAACAGGATTAGCACCCTGGAGATTTTCTGACAGGGCGACAACAAACTGGGAATTATAAAACAAAGGGCCACTGCTGTCCTGGAGAAATCCATCTGATTAGAGCCTTCTGTCTTTCTCAACTGGAAGCCCCCCCACTTCCCACAGAGGATTACAGATAAACATTGCGCACATTCAAAGACACCTTCGTCTGTGGGAGAAAAATTATCTCCATTTATTTTGTTTCATATACATCCATAGTTGAATTTTAATACAAAAAGAAAAAATTAGAATCTGACAAATGTTTACAAACAAGATACCTTCAAATAGATTTTGCTCATTTTAGCCTGGTGCAGAGTAAATGACAAACTGTACTGGTATATCAAGGCAACAGAGTCTGTAGTCCAGGACCACTCAGTCCAACCTTTCTGCAAGCTTAATTTTTGTCTACCATGAATAATAAACTCATTGTTGATTCCCAGTTGTGTGTGTGTGCACATGTGTACATAGCAGCTCCTTTCATAGAAAGAAAAGACATCTAGAGGTCGTCTTGTACTTTTA